GAAAACGCAAGGTCTACGGAGCGGGAACTTTTCGGATTTGAACTCAGCGTGTTCGACAGTGTTAGTTCCCGTAAAAATATTTCAGTTCCAAGACATGCACTACGGAAATCGTTTTCTAGGCACTTTTCAAGGCCACAGCAAACGGCCTATAACGTCAAGGCAAGACGATCGATTTTCTGATACTCGCGTTGGTTTATTAATAAGAGAATCTAAATCGCAAATGTCGCAAATATCCAGCAAGAATTTCCCTTGTTTATTGTTGGACAGAGGCTGCAATAAATCAGAATTCAAGTCTCCAGTGCAAACAATGTTTTCGCTTAATAGAAACGCTTCGTCTAATACCATTGATAATTCAGTGGTGAACGCGCTATTGTCTACCGAGGGTGGTTTATATGCGCTGATTAATGCAAATTGTCGCTGTCCAATGCGTAATTGAAGTAGAATGGTCTCGAGCTGTTTGCATGCAATTTTCTTTTGTTGTGCAATAATGCTTTCTTTTATGTAGACAATAATGCCGCCTCCGCCTTTCTTTCGATCCCTACGAAAATATTTAAATCCTTCGACGTAAAATCGAAAATTTGGGAAGGTTTTATCAATTTTTGTTTCTTGAATTGAGAGAATATCGAAAACACCACAGCGTAGCCACTCTTTGATTTCGACAAATTTGTTCGGTAGACTGTTTACATTTAAGCTAGCTATTAAACATTTCTGATGATTAGCATCCCTTAACTGTTTTAAATTATCAGTCAAGATTGATTTGTTGTTAGTTTCCGAATCTGCTATTTCAGGAGTCGTGAGTTCGCAATGATTATTTTCAAAAAGCGAGTCACTAAAGTTTGGTAATGCGCACATAGTACACACCCAATCGTTATTGGACTGTATGGTGTTGTTTTTGTTTGTCCAACTAGATATTTTAAGACATTTTGCATGAAATCGAGCTTCACAGTCCGTGCAGATAATAGCGTTTTGATTTCGTCTGACCTTCTTACGGCACTCCCTGCAGTAATACTTGGAATTGCTTCCTTTTGGTCCTGGGTTAGGTGAAACGTCTCCACAGGTTAGCAGTTTTCTTTCCATGTTGAATGTGCTAATACCGTTCGTTGTATAGAGAATTTTCCCAGACAAAAATCGTCGTCCGTGACGATCCTTCGCTCTCCTCACCGTATAAATTCCTTGACTTTGTATTTCAAGTGTTTTCCCCACACAAGGTGGGTTAACAATCGAGTTCCCTTCACATACTGTCCTGTCCTTCCTCGATAATTTGTCGTAAAATAAAAACGAGAGGCAAAGTAATAGCAAAGAAACGGCAGAGCTAATTCTGTTGCCGACCACCATATTGAAATCTGTGTTGTTAAAAATAGTTAGTTTATACTATAAATGAGTTTATTACAATACAATAATACAATACAATACAACTTTATTTGAATAATACACATGACAAAATACAAGATTCAAATCCTGCCTCGGATTTGAATCTTATACCTGTATCGGTTCAAATTCGCCGTTAAGTTGGAAATAATTCTGTTTGAGAACGCAATAATTGGGCATTTCGCAACCAGGACAGTTTCAGGGCAGTTTTGGCCTTGTAGGCCGTATTCTGTGGCACGATATCATTCAATTCCGTTGCCATGGTTCGGGCACTACTTTGAAACAAGATAAATAATTAGGATAAATCATACGAAATCCAAATCCGCTTGTTGGCACTTCTCAAAACCTGCAGTTTTCGAGTATTTCTTCTTCGAACATTCAAGAAATCAACATCTTTCGCAATCAATCGCCGCCATTTTTGTTCAGGATACTTGGTGTAATAAACACTATAAATGGCAATTTTCGCGGGCTCACACTCGTTCTTACATGAAGTTTCCAGTTTAGCATTTGTAAACATGGCGTCTTCCGATTCATGTTTACTTCATTTTGAGGGGGAAAAAGGCCCACTTACAGGTTTTAGTGCGGTTTTGTATAAAAGATGTTTAGATTGTCATAGAATTTGGCTAATGCTAGACAGGGACGAAGGCAATGTTGCTCAAAGAAGTTTGCAATTTGTTAGCGACAGCATGCAAATTTCTCTTATCATCGAGGATGTTACTCGGCATTCACAAATAGCAGTATGATCAAACGAGCTCAAGTGCATTGTTAGAATATGGACAGACAAGGTGTACCTTCATCCTCTGGTATCGATATTAATAATGACGAAGAAACGGAATCAGATGAAACTCCACCTGGCACCTGTAGAGATACTGTATAAATGCTGAGATCTAGATTGCATTGAGAACTAGACTCAGTTGAAAATAACCGAAATATTCCATATATTGAAAATATATGTTGAAAATATCCGAAATATTCCATAGTTCCGAAATATCAACATAGTCGAACCGACCTGACCGCGTAGCTCAGTTGGCAGAGCATTTGGATAGTATTCCAAAGGTCATAGGTTTGATCCCACCGTGGGCAGGCATATTTTCCCAACTGCCCGGTGTGGATATACACTCGGAGTAACATCACAAATATGTGTTTTATAATTATATATTGATTGAATTCCCTTCAGCTGCACCTCTTATAACAGCTGTGTGATTTCTTTGTATGGGTTTATTTAGAAGTCGAATAAGGGAAAGCTGGACAAAATGGTATCTGCCGAAACAGCAGATGGTAGTAAACTGAAAGAAACTGCAACCAAAAAGCTGGTGAAAGTATTTTTATTTAAATTGCTGATAAGGACCTGGTGGCTTGTAGCATTGGAAGTGAAATATCATAAACATTGTTATGAAATGTTTCCACAACTTCTTTTCCTTGGACCAAAGGTACGAAACAAGAGTGAAATTGTTGATACAGATTGCCTCAGTCAAGCAAGTGTAGCAGAAAGTGTTATGCATGATGACATAGAAACGTTTCAGAATTCACATAAGTCTGAATCTGATGATGACATTGGAACGAAGGCATCTATGTGCAGTACACAAGTGCAACACTGAAAGAAATGTATATAGTTGACCTAACCGTGAGAAACAACTTCCTTTATTGTACATCAAATTGTTACAGGAACTGGCCACCAGATGCATCAGACATTACTGGTGAAAACATCAGAAAGTTCGTATCCCCTCTCTTGTTTAATTTTATGACATGGATTCTTGGGTTTTCAGATGACCCAAAAGAGGCTGACTATATTAAATTAGATGAGCAAACTACATCAAAGATTTTTTCTCTGTGTCATGATTTGGACTACATTTCTAATAGGAGGAAAGTACAGACACTTAAGTCCCTAGCAATGACCGATCGACAGATTTCTGGTTCTTCTGGCCTGATAAGATTTTGAGTGGTTTTGAACATTGTGTCTCACTATCTTTGACAATGGCATATAATTCAGCTATTGCACAGGCAACTATCAACAAATCAACATTATTCCAGTAATATCTGATGCCAGTTCTTGTACCAAGCTGATGCACAATCATGCAAGTTGTTTCTCAATGTTAGGCCAACTGCGCACATTTCTTTCAATGTTACACTTGTGCATGTGGATGCTTTTGTTCCAATGTAAACATCAGATTCAAACTCTTGCAAGTGAACTCTGAGATGTTTCTATGTCATCATCCATAAAACTTCTGCTACACTTGCTTGACTAAGGCACTCTGCATATTAAACAATTTCACTCTTGTTTCGTACCTTTGGTCTATGGAAAAGAAGATGTGGAAACCCTTTACATGGCTGTGTACTTTTCATAACAATGTTTTTGGTACTATTTGACTTCCAAAGCTACTACGTCCTTATCAGCAATTTGAATCAAAATCACTAGCTTTCTTGTTGCTGCTTCTTTCAGTTTAACAGCTTTTGCTTTTTCAACTTCTAAATAATAAAGAACCCATGATGCATGAAAATCACACAACCGTTATAAAGTGAACGGCTGCGGCCAGTGTAATAAACTTATCAACTAAGTGACATACGCATGGCAACACATGGGAATTGCGTGATTTAGTTGCCACACTCGTACACACACAAGTCTCCCATCTTGTAGCAAGTCTGCCAACAGCCGTCAACAAGTTGTCTTCGCACTGCTTGTCCGAAGTTGTCAACAAGTTTGGAACAAGCTGTTAACAACTTGTAATAACCTTGTTAATATTATTAGGCTTGTTGCAAGGTTGTTCCAATAAGTCTGATACAGTTATGATAGAACAATATTGTTACAACCTGGTGTCGTCAACCTTGTAACATTCTTGTTATATCATGAGTGTATCAGACTTGTTAGAACAACCTGGTAACAAGACTGATAATGCCATTAAGCTTCTTACAAGTTGTTAACAGCTTGTTCCAAACTTGTTACAACAACTGGGAGCAAGCAGTGTGAAGACAACCTGTCGACAGCATGTGAAGAGATTTATAACAACTTGTTTGCAGACTTGTAACAACTTGTGCATTTTTACGCGTGTAGGGGATCTCAGCATTTTCTTTATGGGTGGAGTTTCATCCGACTTCTTCATCATTATTAATATCGATACCAGAGGATGAATTATAAGGTACACCTTCTTTGCCCATACTCTGACAACTCGTTTAATCATACTGCTATTTCCCACGCCCCCCTGGAAATCAGCTTTCTGCGTAGGGGTTAGCGTGATGAAATAAAGTTTTACCTACCTACCATTTGTGAATGCTGAGTAACAACCTCGATAATAATAGAAATTTGAATATTCGATACTTTCAACTGTGCATGCTACTTTCCAATTTCCATGCTGTCGCTAACAAATTGCAAACTTCTCTGAGCAACATTGCGTTCGTCCCTGTCTAGCATTAGCCAAATTCTACGACAATCTAAACATTTTTTATACAAAACCTGACTAAAACTTGTAAGTGGGCCTTTTCCCCCCCAAAATGAAGTAAACATGAATCAGAAGACGCCATGTTTACAAATGTTCAGCTGGAGACTTCATGTAAGAACGAGTGTGAGCCCGCGAAAATTGCCATTTATAGTGTTTATTACACCAAGTATCCTGAACAAAAATGGCGGCGATTGATTGCGAAAGATGTTGATGTCGTAAATTTTCGAAGAAGAAATACTCGAAAACTGCAGGTTTTGAGAAGTGCCAACAAGCGGATTTGGATTTTGTATGATTTATCCTAATTATTTATCTTGTTTCAAAGTAGTGCCCGAACCGTGGCAACGGAATTCATTTTCTAAGCGACTTTTCGTGCCACAGAATGCGGCCTATTGTTGTTGGGAAATCCACTAGGCCTTCTAGGCTTGGTTCCTCCGCCCCGCCCCCAAATCACCTAGTCCCAGTCTTTTCATGTGAAAAAGCGCTGAATATTAAAAATATATAAATAAGACTAGAAGGCTTAGGTCTAGGCTGCTTGGTTGTATGTTCGAACAATTAAGCTTGTCCGAACTCGTGGTATTTGTTTACATTTTTGGTCACGTGTTGCTACACGTGTCTTTAGGGTCGAATTTATATTCGGCACTGACTGGCTTTACTGGCCGCGAGCTTGAGAGATCCCGCGCGTGCGCACTGAAATTGGTTACGCGTTGTACACGCGAGATGCCCTTCTTTTCATTTCTTATTCTATGCTCCTTCCTAGCATCATCACGCTATTATAATCTACGACTTGAGAGCACATGCGCAGTTGCGTTGCTAAAGGAAAAAAATAGGTTTTCCGGGGGAAAGATCCTTCACACAACCAACCTCGTTCCCAGTGTCTCACCTCCTCTCACCCCCTGCTCCGGTGAGACCCTGGTATGGTGTGGTCAAGTGAGTCATGACCATGCATGTGCTATACTCAGTAGGGGTTAAATTGTTAGATGAGGAAAAGCAAAGTCTAGTAACTGCACTTAAAATCGTACAAGGAAAAGAAATTGTGATGAACGACTGGCGTAACAATGAAATTGGTGCCTTCATCAATGCTGATGATAAATTAAAACAAAACTCTGGAATGGCAAAACCAAAAGGTTCAAAACGAGAGTTTGGAAACATACTTGAATGCAAGAATGCGTTTGAAATACTTACAGTAGAGGATGATAGTGAACATACTGATAATGACAAACAAGAAACTGTCGGAGAAGGTTTGAGTACCGGTACTCAAGTAGCTGAGGAGGATGTCACTGTTGAATGTAATGTGATCAATGAACAAGAGCCCAACCGGAAAGACTCGGGTACACAGATGATAGAAGGTAAGCCAGATTTACCACCAAATAACCATAATGATCCCCAAAACAACATGAATTTAGATCGAGAAAGCCAAATTGTTATTATTGGGGACTCAATAATCAAACATATAATACCGAAAAAAATATCGAGTAGCAATGTTACGAAAATAACCTTTCCGGGCAAAACAGCTGATGAAATATCTAACCAATTAGACCAAATCAAGTTAAAATCAACACCGTCCCACATTATAAT